TTTTTCTCCAAAGAGTATATATAGTACATACTCTAAAGATTAAATGGGCTTGGGGGCAGGTACACAGGAATTTTTTTTGGACAACTTACAAAAATATCTTTAAAATTAGAGCTATTATATGAAAAGTTTTTTAAAAGTAAAAAATATTGTGTAAAATTAAAAAGTGACACGATGTCACTTTTTTTAAGAAAAAGTGACACAATGTCACTTTTAAAAGTTTAATATAATTTTTTATTTAAAAAAATTACATACAATGTCACTTTTTATTAAAAAGTGATGCTTGTTACTAAAAAAAGTGATAGAAATTTCAAAAAGACGATTGAAAGAAGTGATAAACACTAAAAAAAGTGACAAAAATTCAAAAAAGTGAGAAAAAAGTTTCAAAAATTCAAAAAAGTGACACAAATTTTAAAAAAAAAATTAAACAAATTCAAAAAAAGTGAGGAGGCATAGAAATCAAATGTTAAGCGTCACCTTTTTATTGAAAAATGACATACAAGTCACTAAAAAAGTGATAGAAATCAAGAATCTGATTGAAAAAGCAACAAACACAAAAAAAAAAAGATAAAAATTCAAAAAAATGATAGAAATTTGAAAAAAAGAATATTGAATTCAAAATAGCTCCAATTGACCAAGTTTTTACAAGAAAAAAATAAGTTAATAAAAAAATCGTTAACTTTATCTCTACATCATGTTTTCAGTTCAAGTATTACTCGAGAATGATACATCACTCCATTTCGAATAGTGATCAAGGCAATAAGGCAACAACATTAGACATAAATGAGATAATTTAATTTATACAAGCAGAAAACTTTTAACAATAAACATTGAAGTTACAGAAACTAAGCAGAGGCAAAATTTTCTAAAAAAGTCAAGGATTTTACATATGCTACAATACTATAAAGAAAAATTACCTCCCATCCTATCAAGAAAACAATTGATATACCTCCCTTCGGACTGAAGCTCCAAGAGGAAGGGAGAAATCATGCTATTCGTCCTCTTATACACATCCAGTAAGAATTTAGGCACCTTTTGTCAAATGACTGGTGTATACAATAAATTACTTTTGTAACAGAATTTATAGGGAAAAATTACCTATATAAAAAGATAATGCAAACAATTGGAGAGCATAGTCAATTATTGCATAATAATTTGCTGCTAAAAAAAATATATTGACAAAAAGGTAACAATGAACCACCCACAGTCAATTCCAGACCATAATGTATGGTATTGTTGTAAATATTTAAATTATACCTAAAAACTAATTAGGAAACCTCAATAATCCACATCTAGCACAAATTTTGGCACCAAGAGAAGGCGTCCCATTGCAATCCCCTTTTACGTGACAAAGAGGCGATTCACACAAAATCATGCATAAAAGGCAACATACAGGAACATGGAATGTTATATAAACCTATGATTTAGATTCAAGAAACCTGTCCAAGAACACAATATGTGTCATATGGTTTTAATTTAATTCATATTTTCAAACTTAAAAAGAAAAAAGTTATTGATTTGGTTTTGAACGTTTTAGCCTATTTAAAAAAAAAAAATACGCATAAGAATGAATAGAACATGAAAAGATTTATCTATCTATGAACTTCAATGTCAAATAATTTTCTTCAATAAATGTGAAGTGAGTAGACCTGATGTGAACAAGAGGAATTTATTTTTTCCACCAATCTCTTCATCAATAAAATTCAGAAGCACAATCACCAAAGTTTTATGATTTCATGGGTTTTGATTTGGGGGCTTTTGGATTGAGGGGTTCAATGGTTGAAGTAGCTCATGGTTGAGAGTTTCTCAGCAAGAATTTTGGAGTTCTCTACTAGTTGGATGATTTCGAAATGATTTGGTGGTATTTTAAACGTATTATTTACGGGTTAAAAGATTTTAACTAGTTATAAGTGTATTATTCTAATTTATTATTTTTTGGGGGGTAATGGGCCTAATTTCCTCAATTTTTTTTTCCAAAGAACAAATATTTGTTTTAAACTAAAGATTAAATTGACTTGGGGGCAGGGGTTAAAGCCCAACCCCTACCTCCCCCATCCTATGCCTTCGAGTGACGATTTTCAAAAGGTGGAAATTATATCAAACCATACTTTAAAAATTCAACATTCTAAAATCAGGATAGAAGTTTCACATTTCAAAAATCAAATTTTTTTTATATTAATTATCTAGATAAACTAATAAAATTAGGAAAATATCAAAACCTTACCCACTATCCACCAAACCCGTAACTCTCTCTCATCACCCCTCTCCTTCCTCTTCCTCCCTTCTCCGTCGCCTCTTCAGTGCAAGGCTGTACGACACCATGCTCCAATCATCACTGCAAGGCTTTGCAGATCTGCGTCGGTATCGATTTTGGAAGTTTCCAAAATCTAAAATCATTGTTGTTGGTATGGTGGTTTGGGTGTGCTGCTGTGGTGGTTTGGGTGTAGTGTTGGTTCAAGTGTGCTACTGGTATCAGTTTTAGAGTGTTTGTGGATCTGCGTCGGTGATTTAGGATGGCGACGACAGTGACGGTGAGGTGGAGTAATGATGGCGGTTGTGGGATGCTAGTAATTTTGGATTCGATTTGTTGGTGACATTGGCTTCGGTGATGGTCGTGGTAGTGGTTGTCGCTTCTGATTTTGGATTTATTTTGCGGTGCTGTCACGGTGGCGAGTAATTAATGGTAGTTTTTGGTAGTCATAGCTTGGCATTGATTGTGGTGGTCATAATGTAGGCAATGTAGGTGGCACTGGATTAACAGGAGATCTATGAAATTTGGGTTCGATTTGTTGTTGTGACGGTCGCGATTACTGTAATAATTTTTTTCTTGGTGGTGGAACTGGCGTTGACGATGTGGTGGTGTTTTCTGCGATGGATTGATTTGTTAAGGTGGTGGTGGTGATGAGATAATGGTCGCAAGTGTTGGTGGTGGTGTCAAATTATTTGGTTAACTGTGATCAATAAATAATATGACCAATAAAAAATATAAATTGTGACAAAAAAATAATGTGTGACTTAAAAGATTGTTAATCTGTGACCAGTAATTTAATAATTTGTGACTGTATAATAAGTCGTGACTTGTAATATTTGTGATTTGTGATCAATAAATAAATCATAACTTATAAGTTTTTCAATTTGTGACCAATGAACAAATTGTGACTTATAAAATTTTTGAGCTATGACCATAAAATAATTTGTGACATAAAATTTTTGATTTGTGACCAAAAAATAATAAGTGACCAATAAAATTGTTAATTTGTGACAAATTATATAGATCTATGACATAAATATATTTAATTAATAAAATAATAATTACTTAATTTAATCATAAATAAATTTTAATAACAATATGATTTTTGAAATTTGAAACTTGTTTTTTTTTTAAAATTTTGAAATGTATGATACTTAAACTCTTACTTATGAAATTTTCCCTTTCAAAAGTTATGTTAATGAACTTTAAAATACGAGGCAAATACATAATTGTACTATTTATTATTATATTTTTTTGTTTAGTTGAAATATAAAGAGCAAATAAGTCTTTTAATGTTCTCTTAGCATAATTTTGGATGGAAACTCTCATTACAAACGAAATATGCTCATTAAGGAAATGTTAAAGGTAAAAATGTGATGAAAACATAAGAATGTCTAAGTAAACTTTAAGAACCTTTAATGCAATTAGAACACGACGAACTTCAAAGAAACCTTGGTGTCAATTAACCACCACATAGTTCCATAGAAGGAAAAGATTTACGTTAGACAAAGAATGATTCAAAATCAAAAGGTTAAATAGAATCAATCATGCTATACGTGCATCACATGTTACATTATTTTTCACATTATACCACGCGACATCACACTATTGGATGTTTAAAAAAATAAGCAATTTTTTCACCAGTCAAATATTATCAAATCGAATGATGTCAAAGATGATGTGCAGTTACAAATGGCTTTTCCCAGATAGAATTCTGCCAAACGAAATAAGTTGGGGACTGTTACCATAAAAAATAATGGGTTTATCGCCTTGTCATTTTGGAAGTGGCTATTCCAATCATTAAGAATGAGATCCTCATCTAATTCCATTATACATCATAATTATGTCACCAATTGTCCATCCACACTTGCACCTCAAACAGAGGAACAAATTGCTAAGAGATTAGTCAAAAAGGTTGGTAGACTTGGACCAAATTAAGCCACAAATCAAGATCGAGATCATTAGTTCCTTAGGCCTCAAACCAAAATTATTAGTCGGTGTCAATTGTCGACACTTTTAAGAAGCTTACCCTTGAAGATGTTGAAAACATAATACAACCCGCATTTAGGGTCCGTTTGACATGATTTTTTGAAAAGCAAATGGAGTTCTTGATATTCCAAAATTGTTTTTGTACCCATTTGACTAATTTTATAAAAATGTTTTTTCCCGTTTAAAGAGCTTTTAGAGGATATTAGATCAATGTGGCATCCTCTAAAACCACTTTTATGATAAGAAGTTTTTTTAAACATTAATTTTCCAACAAAATGAAAGATAACTTTTTTAAAAAACTCTTCTATAAAAGTAAAATAAAAGTCATGCCAAATAGGCCTTACCCTATCGTTATCTATGTTCATAATAATCAAATATGACATTAAAACAACCAAAACAGTGACGGAGTTAGGATTAGACTAATTTTTCATATTTTTATGCTGCACATATAAAAAATGACTTTTTAAGCCATAAAAATCAAATTGGGCTAAAGTTCGATTCTGAATCAGAAGCATTGATTCAGTGTACGCAACCATCAGTTATGTAAGTTAACGCATGTGACATTTTTAAAAACTCTTTCATGTATATAAAGTTAGGTGATAAATGAAATTAGAAAATATTATGAGTGACTAAATAGGAACCAACACATAAATATTTGTGACCAAACAGACTTTTAACTTGAAAATAAAATATAGACATATAGAACCTCTAAATAATATAAGCTTGTCAAAACCAAGTACAAATTAGGCAACAACAAAAGGCGTAAAATAAACGTAAAATGCATATTCTCTAATTTAATATAATGTTTCCATAATGTGTTACATTGCATAAGCGAATTTAAGTAGTGAAAAAGGGATTTCGACTCTAACTCATAACTTCTTGGTTCACTTGGCATACGTACCTTTGGCCTCATTTGCCCCGAGACCCATTTGTAGGATTTTACATTGGAGTGTGTCTCAAAAAATTCACTGTAACAGTATGTTTGGCCAAGTAGATTGGATGGTACTTGACACTTGACAGTATTAAGGAAGAAAAAGACGTTAAAATCAGTTCTTTATACTATCGGATCATGTCAATTGTCCTTTCCAATAATGCAAGGCCGACCGTGCCCTAACTGAAATAGATAACAGTTCATACTGCATTACTTCTGTTAGTAACAGGCATTCCAATGCTAGAAGAACTTACACCAACATTTGATTCTGAAAAACCTATGAATGTGTCTTTTTTGGGCCATAGCCAAATCTTGGAGAAGGAGAAACTATCACCTCTTGTCCTAACATTAATCTTCCGTTCATCTCTAGCAGCATTGGGTACACATTTCCCATCGTCATGTCTTGTTTCCACACGACTAGTAGTATTACCATCAGAGTCGAAAAAAGGATTTCTCACTTTGTTTCTATTTTCACTGGACAGAGTTATTCGCAGATCCAAATCACCGACTATGTACTGAAATGCGCCCAGAGAATAACATCTCCTCGCATCCAGATTGCTGCTACTGATCTCACTTTGAATTCCATCTCTTTCACGACCTCCATCCGGGCTTCTGAACTTACCAAGCCTAACAGAAAACACCCTCAATTCACCTTCATTTTCTTGCAACATTCCCTGGTTTTGACATGAAAATGTCCCGTTCTCACCATCAGCATATTCACGATTCCATTGTTCCATCGACTCGTTAAAATTAAACACACGATGTCCCGGAAGAAGTTCAGGGTTAATGAGACCTCTACACAAAGGACACGTTGAGTTTGACAAAAGCCAAGTTTCTATACAATGCATATGAAAAGCATGGCCACAATTTGGAATAAATTTGAGCTTGTCAAAATCCGAGAATTCGCATAAACAAACAGCACAATCAAATGGCTCCTTCAATCCCGCAATATCCTTATAGTAGAAGACTGGTAGAGCATCAATCAGAGCTTGATCGAGGCCAGAATCGTGTAGATGAAAGAGTTGATGCAGCTGCCTTTGAAAAGTACGGGAACCAGATGTTTCTGGGACTCTATTGGATTGAGAAATTGATGAAAAGGATGGCCTTTTCATGAGGCATCTAATAAGAAATTGTAGCAGACCAAATATGAAGAACACAACTGATAGAATTACTATAACCAACAGAATTATTGGGCTAATTCGGCTCATTGATGAGAAATTTGTTCTCAGGAAATAGAACTGCTTCAAATAATTTTCCGTAACCAATGGCGAACCCCCCAACCCTTAGAACATACTAGAGTCCCACGTGACAAAGAGCCAACATGGAGTTGTCAAACTTTTCACTCAATATGAGCCTCAGACAGTTACCCCTGGAGTAACTTTTATCTGTCTAGTGACGGCCCTTCCACTTGGCTTAGTCGTCTCCTCTTCCTATATGAGTGCCTGCAAAACAAACAAGAATTTAATGTGTGCTGATTTTCTCAATTTGGTCTGTCCAAACAGCTTCTCCTTTCTCAATTCTAGGCTATGAATCCACACATCAAGAAGCTACCACTTCTTGTAATTCCGATATATAAGTACTTAAGCGCAAATATTCAAACATTCAAAAGCAACCCAAGAAAAATGGTCTCCTTTTCAATTGGAATTCAGTTGGACAGCTGATGAGAAGACTTAAAAAAGCTGTACTGAAAGTGTCATGTAAAGGGAGTGTGGAAAACTAAATGCAATAAAAAAGAAGAAAGTTTTTCAAAGAGAATATCAAGGAATAAAAGCTGGATTTTGCAGGTGAGCTAACTCTATATTTCCCGTGGAGTCTGAATTAATCTTGCATCAAAACAGGTGCCATACAAAACATTCTATTGGTTGTTTAACAGTTTTAACAAGATACGTATGGATCGTAAGCTAAGGTTATATTGCAAGTACTGGACAATAATAAAGAAAAAATAAATTATAATTTTATTCGTTATACTATACAATTTAATTGAGCGTATAGTTAAATACAGTATACTGTTGCGAGCTCGTTATAGTATTCTCACTCAGAATGTCAATTGGGTAACCGTATTTCAATTTGTTTCAATTATGTAACTATATTTTAATTTATTTCAATCGAATAACTATACTTTTATTTTGTCTCAATTAAGATAATTTCGTCAAACTCTGTCGTTAATTGACACCTGCATTTGTTATTTACATTTGTCTAAGCGACGAAATTAGGAGTTACCTTGAGATAAAATTAAATTGTAGTTACTTAATTGAATAAAATAAAAATACAGTTACTCGATTGACATTCAAACAAAAGTACAATTATGACATATGGAATTTACCCAAACGCAAAAACAATTTTATAAACAAATTGTACAGCAATTTATGGCATGGATCATGAAGTTTAAATTTAAAAAAAAAAAAAAAATTTATTTCCTTAATCAAAGGCCCCATTGAAATAGGAGGAGACCCACAAACGTTAATTACAATGATTTAGTCCACAAATGTCTTGATCTCACCATTTTGTCTTTATCACATTTGAACATAATGCAATGAAAAGTGAAGAACAATGGACTAACACGTAAATTAAAAAACTTGTGGAGGGTCCCAAGTGATGCTATTTTTCTCCTTTGCCCTTGCACGCATTCCATCGGATTGCTTGTGCTAGATGGCGATTATGACTAATCATAAGCTCCTAATTTCCTAATGTTTGGTAACGCTTAACTAACAAGTTGGTAGAAAGGGTTCCTATTTTCTTTTGCTTTTGCCTCTTTTGTGTCACACGAAAGACGACTTTTCTTGTCGAATCATTTCGTACAGGTCGAATTTTATATTTAATCTTCAACATATCTTTTCAATCTCGTGTACCAACTAAAAAAATAATATTTTAATCGAAAACCTAACTTGTAAAATTTTACTAATTAAGTGACATCAAAGAAAAAAAGGGAAAATTACAAAGACCTTGTATGAGATTTCTCACAACGTCAGAGACATTCCTTACATTTTCAAAAATTACACAACCTCCTCTATTTTAGGATTTGTTCGATAATGATTATAAAAATTAATTTTTTGACTGTTAAAAAGAATAGTGGATCTCACCTGTGAGAGAAAAAATAAAAAATCACTGCCAACTTAAGGAAGTAAAAATCAAAAAATTAATTTTTTTGAATGAAAAATCAGAACCGTTTATACACTTAAAACTTTTTAACAACGCATATCTCCTCTAAAATTTATGGCAATTTTAGGGTTACTCCCTCCATTTACAAAAACTATACAAACCTTATTTATCTGGAGTTTTGAGTAACACACACCCCATTGACCATTTTTTTAATTCATGTATCAGTGTAAATAATAGTGGTAATGCTCATCGTATTTCTTACGAAGTTCTTTAGTCTTTTAACTTCTTTAACATAATGTGATACTTAAAATATTCTTTTAATGCTTTCGACTAATTATTAAAAAACATTTCAACTTGATTTGAATAATTATTTTTTAAAATACAAAATGAAAGAGATTTTAGTTGTGATTTCGTCTTACATGAGTATTTTAGAATTTTGATAGTTGTGAGCAATTTTCAAAAGTGTAAATAACATGATAATATTTGTAGGTTTGTAAATTTTTAACTATGCCTGGACAAAATAATGGCGAACCCAATCCAAAACCTCCAAACCAATCCGACTTGGGTTGGTTTGGGTCACGTTCATAGTCCCTCTGGTCGATTTTTGGGGTGGAATTTTTCAAGTTGAAATCTCGGTTTTAATGATCGATTTTTTTTATTTTCTTTATTTTTGAAAAAAATGTGGTGTAAACATATTTACCGTTTTAAATATTATTTTATTAACCAAATTGTGACCTGAATTTTGTAGGTTTACAAGAAGATTCTTACTTCTCAAAAGTAATGTGTTAATCAGTGAGAGTTCAGGAGAATTTCCTCCGGCCCCAACTTTGTTAATTACTCCTCTAAACAAACGCATTGTATGGGCCACTTGCCCCCCAACAACTTCTAGATGGGTCGCATTTTTTTAGTAAATTTAGAGGCCAAGCTTGGTCCAACCCACTGGATGCTTTTTTCCTTCTTTTTAATCCCCTCACCTTGAATATCAATCTAGTTCCCCTATATTAATAATAATAAATTATCTAGCAATGGACAACTTGATAAAAAAAAAAATTATTAGATTCAAACTTCTCCTATAATAATATTAGGTGTGAAATAAAATTTATACAAAGTGACTTCAAACTACATATTGAAAATTACCTACCCCTCAATACAAGGCAACTCTTTCGAACAAGGTGACTACAACACTATCGAAATATTATGACCTTACCAACTAATGCATAATCAATTTATGATCTTATTTCTTAAGAAATGTTTAAAAAAAAATTTGTAGGATTTTTGAAATGTCAAAAGTTACATCTACGATTAAACTTCTTTAAATATATTTGAATAAATTTTTAAAAGTATTTTATCTGCCAAAAAGAGTTTTTTGAGAAAACTCACCCAAGATAGTTTACTAAAAAATTCTTAACAAAAGTATTAGTTCTGTTAAATAAGTCTTAATGCTTGGTTGGTAAGAATTTTGATAATTGATTTTTTGACCGTCAGAGATAAAGTGAGTCCTATCTGTGAGAGAAAAATTCAAAAATGACGACTGAAATTGTGAAATAACAGTCAAAAAATTAATTTTAATTGACTTTTAAATTTTACCAAACAAGCTCTTAATATAAAAAACTATTCTACAAGAAATAGAAGTAAAAGTAAAATCCTCGCCTAACTACCCTTAGTACTCCAATTCCATGTCCTTTTCACCGTGCCAAAAAACTCTTTTCTTGTACTTATTTCTTGATCTTTTGTTGTGTACAATTAACGAGCCCTTCTTTTATTATATTGCGTACTCTTTACTTATGCCTTTGGCCAGCCCACTAAATTATTTAATGATTGAACTTTCTTGACACATCTCTTGCTTTAGAGCTGCCTAAACTTTTCAATTTAGTTATTGAACTATTTACTTTAAGAAAAAATTGTAGTACTTGAATTAGCATGTGTTCCTATTTGCTTTCGTTGTCTTTTATTGCATAAAGAGACAAATTCAGATCAAATTACGCAAAATTCGCGGTTGTTGAAAATTATTGAGGATTTCATATGAACGTTAATCAAGCTTTAAATTTACACTAGCAAAAGTAAAAGCAAAAGCAAAAGCAAGAAAGTCTACTTGACCTTCCACCGAAAAATTGGAGGAGAAGGCTGACCAAACTTCAATGCCTAAGCCAATATTTGAGGCTAGAAATTGAGAAATCAATGGACAGAGTTGATTTATCCATGAATGTTCTTTTACATTTCATGAGACATATTATTATCTCTCTTTATAAATTATTTATAAATTCATCAAACTGAGGCTATGAACTTCACATTTAAATGGATCGTTAGTCTTTAAAATTTTAGTCGATTATATTAGTACAATTTTTATAGTTATATTTTTCATAATATAAATATAACGAATATAATATATTCATTTATTAGATATTCTGTCCTCGTTCCTGTCCCGTACCTTGACTTGCAACTGAAACTTTAGCCCCGTTCCCTAATTACTTGGGGAGTCCTGCCCCATTTGGGCCACGTCCCCATGTAGATCGGGAATCCCTACCTCTTTACCATCGTTACATACGTATCAATACGAGCCCTCATTCCATCTTACAATGTAATTAATTTTTTGGTGTCCTTCATCAATTCTTAGGATAAGACATTCTTAAAACTGCACTTGTAATTGGTAGCTGCTGTTGGGTTGCTTTCTTGTGAGTTAGAACTTCATATTCCTATTACGTGTTAGAACAACTGCATTGGGAGAGTGTTATTATGTTAGTTGGCTTTGATGTTGAAATCTATTAATGAAATGTCGGCTTCAATTTCCATGAACATATTTTATTGATTTTCTCAATGTCCTCTCTCGAAATTATATTATTTATTCGTTATGCAAAATTTAAAAAAGATTATATTTCACTTTATTAAAATTATTATATTAATTCTTTGTATCTTTTCTTCCTAAATATTGTTCTCTTAAACATGAAGCATCCTTGTAATTATGAGACCCTATACGGTCACACCACCTGGACGCCTCAGAATCATCCATGTCTGTAAAGTTTTGGATGTCAAATAACACATACAAAAATTAAGTGCTCGTATATATTTGTATAGAAAATTATGGGAGGAAAGACGTTTGAAGTGTATTTCTAGATTTATTTGATAGTATTAATCAATGTTTGGAAAACTATATTGGATCCGATTGGCTAGTTCAACCAAAAAACTGGGAATCGGTCTCAAATTCAGTCCGATACTAATATATTAACCAGAAACGAAAAAATTGTTAAATAACTGATCGAACCAATCATTTTGGCTGCAAATCGAAAAACCAGTCACGGTTTTTACCCTTTTTTTCAAAAAAAAAAAAAAAGACAAAAAATAATTACTTTGATAAATAGGCTCAAGCATTGGCAATCCCAATTTTACGTTCCTTCCAATCCAAGTGTTGTTTTAAAATAGAAAAGCCAGATAATATTTTCCTCAACTTCCAATGTTGGATAAGTTGGGCACAAATAATTTTAATTTTAACAAAGCAAATTATTTTAGACAAAACAATTGTCAGTTTTTGATGTTTTAAAATAAATTCTAAGATAATAAATCTAATTGACAAATATTGATTTATATTTACTATGAATTAGCAATACTACAATTTAAAATTTTGTTGTTGTTATAATATTTTATAGTTTGTTGGAATTTAATTTTGATATCCGGTTTGACCCGGATTGATCTCGTTCGATCATTTGACACTTGACTCTGTTTTTTTTTTTTGGGTCGACGTTTGGGTCGATTTTTAGAACATTGGTATTAATTATTTGACGGTACCGCGATAAACTAAACATTGTTGCCACGTATCTCTACGAATAAAGGTGCACAATGGATTCACACAAACCAAATATTTTTTTTAACGTTTAAATAAAAAACGAAAGTTACTTATAAAACCATTAATTATTCGAAAATTATTCGAAAACCCATTAATTATTCGAAAATTAATATTTATAAACATTTAAAATCAGATCAAGTTGGCACACCGGCTGATCACGGGTATAATTTCTTGTGGATGAGGTTCGATAAAAAAAAAAACAAAATTTCTCATTAATGAACACGAAAATTCTTTGGGCTATGCTTGCTGTTCAAGAGGTACAGGCCCCTTACATGATGGGGCCCCACGCTGTGAGGGGATTGCTGTACAAGCTGAATTTTTCAAATTCTTTAACTTGAAAGATGCTGTAGATCGAGGGTAGAAAATAGGGTCACCACGTGTCGACAAGCAATTGAACAGTTTGATTTTTTATTTTTTTTTAAAAACACATCCAAATCAATCTGTTTTCTTGCTTCCTGTCTTCAACCCTGTCCAAAGAGTTTAATTGCTTTAATTTACACCCATGCTGTGAGGGGACTAATAAATGAAGATATGTCGTTAGCACACCGTCATTTACGAATGTATTATGACAGGCAGAAATGGATTAAAAAAATTACTCGTAATTTTTGAATGAGTATTAGAACAAAAACTCGTTAGATACCAATAGTTGATAGCTTCTAATATCCACTAATTTTTCCGTAACGTATATAACAATTTTCAAGTCTGGTCTACCATAGAATGATTCTCACAAAATCAACTCAATCATTAAATTTAAAGTTCATGATATAGTTCCAGTTTTCAATTTTCACCGTGTAAGTGAAATAAGTAAAACAATGAGTTGTTTTGAGCAAGAAGAGGAACATCTTGACCGAATGTGCTTGAAAACACACCTTTTATTTGATTTTTAAGGTGTTCATGGTATGTTATGATAGAAAATAAGAAAAAGTGATTTTTTTTAATTAAAAAAAAAAAAGAAATTATGTACGCCCATAGATTTACTTCAATTTGCTCGACTCGTCAAGTTGAATGGAAATAAAGGTGAAATGAATATTTTGTTAATTTTTATTGGAAAAAAAAAGATTGTTTTGACGAGATGAAAAAATATTTAACCCAAATCAAGAAAATTTTTAGAAAAAAATTACTCAAAAATAAAAATTAATAAAGGTCCAATTTTTAATTTATGCGCCAAAAAAAGTTTCACAACTCTGCTATGGACAGGGTCAATGAATAAGAATCATGTGACCTATTCACCTGTGCTTCACTCGCTCTCTTTCCTCTCTCCTGTTTCATAAAAAAACATTCTTTTCCAACCATTGCAACCACCAAATACATCGCAAAGTTTGGATTTTTTTACTCTATTCCTATATTAAAAAGTATATAAATTTTGTAGTCCTCAAAGTTTTCTTGTATAGTGTTCAGATGTTAGAATGGCTTCAAGATTCATCAAGTGTGTGACTGTTGGTGATGGGGCTGTTGGCAAGACTTGTATGCTCATTTGCTACACCAGTAACAAGTTCCCCACAGTGAGTCTACTTTCCTTTTCTTGAAAGAAAACATTCGTTGTTTTCTTGAAATGATCAATTTGAAGTTTATCAGTTTATGATTTATATGTACCAATCGTTTGTCAGATACTAATTTTTCTGGACAATTTCCTCAAATATATGGTGTAATCATGTAGATTTCTTTCTTTTCTTTTCTTTTTCTATTACTTAATCGTCTGTATGCATATGGATTTTGCAGCTTTTCTCTTGGTTTTGTAGGTAGAAAGGGTATTTTGCATTTTTATTTTCTGGGATTTCTTTCCCTTTTCTTTTAGCAGCATCTTCCTTGGACTCTGATAAGTTGTGTTATATCTCCCTGTGATGAGTCCTTATGTTTGTATTATGCATTTGTGGCCTTACTGGTAGGAAGGATTGGACAAGATCCGACTGTATTACTGTAGAAAAAGAAATTCAGTTTTGTACCAAATATGTACTTAATTATAGTATTTATTTATTTCTTTTGTTGCAACTTCAGGATTATGTACCAACAGTTTTTGATAACTTCAGTGCAAATGTGGTAGTTGAAGGAACTACAGTTAACTTAGGGCTTTGGGACACAGCTGGTAAGCTCATTCTCACTATTGAAATCAGTTTGTTTTTCAATTGATATTTCACAACCATTTCCTAATTTAAGAATGAACTCTCTTAACTATTACCTCCTACCCGATAAGAAGTTCCCTTGTCTTGATTCAAATTTATGTTTTCGGTGTTGTGAATGCATCTACAGGTCAAGAAGATTACAACAGACTAAGGCCTTTGAGCTACAGAGGAGCAGATGTGTTCGTCCTAGCATTTTCATTAGTTAGTCGGGCAAGCTATGAGAACATAGTTAAAAAGGTGCATAATTCCTGAAAGCTGTGTATTTTCAATAACTCTTTTCGTACTTAGCATTATTTATACGGAATTGCAGTGTTTAATATGATTTTAATAGCATTTATTGGGCAGTGGATCCCAGAACTTCAGCATTTTGCACCTGGGATCCCAGTGGTACTAGTTGGCACCAAATTAGGTATGCTCTTGCTTTTCTGTTGAAAATGTTGTTGTTTTGTTCGTTTCCTTTCCTGTTATATCATAGTTAATCAATTGACAGCAAAGTTTGTTAATACCATCTCCTTTTTTCCTAATAAGTTTGTCTTTGTCACATTGAACGTCCTTGGTTAATGTGGCTAAATCTATCTGTTTCTAATTGAGAAAGATGTTGTGTTTGAAATATGGATATCAAATGTGCTGCGCTGTTAACCAATCCCATTTTCTTCTCTTATCATTTATCTCGCTCTGTGTGTGTGTGTGTATGGTCGTAGACAAGCATATGCATAGAGCATGTATATTACTTAGCGGAGTTTTCCTTCAGAGAAAAGTGAGTCAAGATAGTGGTCCGCTTGGCCCTTTTTTTTTTTTTTATTAGGATGAAGCTACATCTGAGAAAGTCTACCAAAACATTAGTAAAATTCCTCAGAAGATATGGAACCTGAATCCGCGTTCGTGATAACATTAAAAAAAGAAAAAAAGAAATACACGCATGAACCCATTCAGCGTATCTTTGCCATTTTTTTAATAATGTGAGCAATTCTTACTATAACCTCTTCTTTTCTCTTTACCTTTATATCCCTTGTAAGGCTTGTCTTCTGCCTAGTCATTATAAATATATTCCACTTGAACGCATAGAGGTGTAACAATATAGACCAAACCTTTTCAACATTTTAGCATATGGGATGTCTTATTCCTTTTCTGCTGAAGAGTGATTGAAAGGCATGATAAGTTTAAAGTCTGACAATAGAAGCAAAGCATACCAGTATGGGTCACGCTTTGCATGCAAAAACTTATGATTTTTGTTGACATTGGAAATTGTTTGGAAGCTTCTAGCAACATCAGGTGTGGTTGATGCTGAGAAATCCCTTTTTCTTCTTTCTTCTTTCTTCTTTCATTTTTCCTTTTTTATTTTTTAATAATTACTTTAAATTTTATATAGTGAGAAGTGGATATTATTCTCATCTTTTCCTCTTATCCATGGCTCAAGGGTTTGAAATGTAATGGTTAGTAATTCCAAAGGATATGGATTTCCTGGAGAAAATATATATGCCCAATCCTGTGGAGAGAGTTAAATCCTACTTTTGATCTGGTAATTTCTGCATGTAGTTTTTCACGTTTGCAATGAACAGTCCGTAACCTTCCGGCGTATCAAATTCAATGTGAGAATTTTAACATCATGCTTTCAAATGGGCAAACCACTAGATCAAGTGTTTGACATTTTATTTACTCTTCGTAGGCGCCTTTTTCTTCCAAGTTACTCATCACTTTCTCATTGATTTCTAATAACTAAGATTTTGTGTTAAAACCCCACAAGCAGAAAACATCCTTATGGTTTGAGAATATGCCATCTAGCACCAGTGGTATTGAACCCCAGTCTAGGTGTCATCATATCATAGATTCTATTAAGTAGGCTATAAATTCTTGTATTTAATTGAAACTATAATTTAATGCCACAGGTGCTGGCATTACTTGTGGTTTGAACTCAAGGGATACCCTTTTTCAGTTTTAATGCTAGTTCTTTATGACCCTTCAAAATTATGTGACCACAATTCCTCCATAATACCAATGAAAGTTCTTCAAGGGTCCAATCATAGCTAAACGTTGCATAGGCCTTTTTTCCTCTTTTCCTTTCAAAAGAAACTGTTTTATTGTATGAGTTATGATATTTTAGCATTTACATCATATTTGAACTAATGATTTTTACTCTTTCACTATTGTTTTCCAGTTTATTATCTTTTTCATATAATCATCAAACTAACAATTTTTTTAATTAATAGATCTTCGCGAGGATAGGCACTACCTAGCTGATCATCCAGGATTAGTTCCTGTGACCACTGTGCAGGCATGGCTCTCATCATTGGCTGCTGCTAGCTCTTTTGTTTTTAATCTATATCTTAGAGTAACTGATTTGTGTATGCATAATTAATCAGGGAGAGGAGCTCCGTAAACAAATTGGTGCTGCTTACTATATTGAATGCAGCTCTAAAACTCAACAGGTAATGGTTGATCGGCTTTTCATTTTGCTACGTGTAGTTTTTTTGCAAGTTAAATAATGAAACTTGTAGAATAAAGGATCCATCGATCTCCACTCTAAATATTTTCTGATTTCACATGATAAGCCTGTCTGAAAAGTCTATTTGCGCTTTCCAGAATAATCATTTGCAGTAGTAATCATTTCTATATGGTTATATCTGGTTTTTCTATCAAATCTGGAGTGAACTCATAATTCAGGTATTCATTTCAACAGTTCATATGCATGGGAGATGAGCTTAAAGAGAAATATGAGAAGTGGGAGATAAATCAGGAAAATCAAGTTTTTGACATATGTGTTAACATAATGAGAATCATCTACTTGATCATTCAACAACCAATTAGTATTATCTCATCCAAAACTTATTTCTAAAATTGAACAAAGTTTATGACTGATAATTGGGTCCTCAGAAAAGCATTACCTGATCATCTGCCTACAGGATTATATACCCATTTACACTTTACAGGCTATTTCTTAAAATGGTCCATTCCAATGGGAAAGCATAATGGTTGGTTTTAAAAGTAATTGCAGTTTCCAGGCTGATACACTGTGTTTTGTCTGTGTACATGTAATGTTCGCCTGAATGTTTATGCGATAGTTAGACATGCTGCTTGTTGCACGTGAGCCAGATTCTGTGATTCATTTTCTTTTGTAATTCCATATGATGTTGCTCGATGTGTGTCTTGGATTTCTTTGGAATTTATAATGTAACTGACTTTCTGCCTTCTCAATGCAATATGCAGAACGTAAAAGCAGTTTTTGATGCTGCTATCAGGGTAGTTATCAAGCCACAGCAAAAACAAAGGGAGAAGAAAAAGCCGCGTCAAGGATGCTTTCCGTTAGTAACTCTTAACATTATGCTCTTCACACTAGTTTCCTGTTCAAACAACATGACCACCACTTTACTCTATTGCTTTTGTGCTTTGATCAACTGCATGTTTACTACACAGACTGACAGGAGTGAATAGTACAATGAAAATGATATGTTTATATTTTTTCTTTATAACATCACGTACCATCCAATTTTTCCCTAACAAATGTACCACATAGGAGAAGAACTTTATTAAGACTAGCCATTGTCATGTTGTATTGTCATCATTAGCATTTTAACGCAAATGTACCACATAGGAGAAGAACTTTATTAAGACTAGCCATTGTCATGTTGTATTGTCATCATTAGCATTTTAACGCTATACAGTATGCCTTTTTTGTTGATATTTTTAAACCAAGGAATCATAAGGATAAATAATCAAACCCCAACTTTGTTTGTGATAAAGGAAGATTTTAGACAGGATGATTGGATCAGTCCTTTTCTTTCCTATTAGCATATTGGTGTCTGTCATTTTCAAGCAATTGAGTTTAATAGGATATCGAAGAGTTCCAGCTAGTCTAGTTAGCTAGGAAAGTGTTATGGTAGTCATATTAGATACTTGCAACAAATGCTACCTTCAACTGGAGGAGAATCACCTTTATTGGTGTTTAATTCCCAAGAAATTACAATTAACAGAACTAACATATTTAGAAGTTCAAAACTTCAAAACTTCATATCTGTCATTCAGTAATTGACAATCATCAATTATCAACATCACTATTCTTTGAGCAGAAGTATGGTGGTGAAAGGATTGAATATATGAATGTCCTGTGAATGTAATTCAATCTAACCATTTTATTCAGGTTTAAAAATTGATCAAATTTTCATTGATTTTTTATTTGTTTCAAATGGAAGTATGCGAAGCTTACGAGTGAAAGAAGAGAAAGGGAACTTATGGTGATGATTCTCATAAATTAAATTCATCATTCCAATTACATATGTTTTGTTGAATATTTAGTTAAACATGCATGGTAGAATTAAAAAAATTTCAATACGCAAAGGCCGAATCATTTTTGTATTTAGATAGAGTTCGTGATAAGAATTATATCTTTGTTGATTACAATTAATTGGGACGATTTTGAATCTGATCTACCACGATCTCAGCACACCACATCTGTCTCTATGTCCAGCATCTAATAGTAATCAACACACTAAGAATGAACTTGGAATTCCAATACCACGAACAATTCACAACCACTAGTTGGATTTAGAGAGAATTAGATTTAGAATTTATTATTATTATTATTATTATTATTATTATTATTATTATTATTATTATTTTGTGCGCTAACAAGGAATAATGATGAGGTACGAAATGTATTTATAGGTTCCTAACCTTGATGGTCCTAAGAACTAATTAATCTTAGTTCAATACACAATAAGCCCATATTTATTATTAAGTCCACCCAACAATTTGGCGTACCTTTTCTTTCTCTTGCAATTTTGCAAGCTAACTTTAGGTCTTTTCATTTAACAAATCCATTCCACAGATTTGATGAAAAAAAATTATGATCAATAACTGCAACCTTATTATATGTTGGCAACTGGATTTTACTTTACTGACCGCATAAACCCTCAGAAAGTATTGAAAGCAAAACCATCAATATGACTCAGCTAGTATGCACATGTTTATGGTGAGTTCGACCACCACCAATATGAATATCTTGTGTGTCCACTGTTTGTAGTTACATATGCTTAATTTACATATTTATTATATTAAGTTGAAAAACCTAATTATTGCCGCTTTATGAAGCCAGCATTACAGCAGTAGAAAATGACCTAATGTCACATTGAGACGAACCTCGATTAATTTTGAGTGTTCTTGTATATATTTTCGTTCCGCGATTTTATTGCTCCTAGTCATAAAATTAGGGTTTCTAATTCTCAACATATTTTTCCTTTTCATTAAACTTTCCGTCATTGGGTTCGACCCATAATATGTGCACGTTTCCTTCTCTTGTTGGCTGACTTTCTTCATGCTTGCAACTGCAGAAATCTCTTTTGTGGGAGAAGAATAACCCGCGCTCCAAATAAGTAATTGTTTCAAATGCTCCTTGTTCAATATTCTGACTAAAGAAATTGGACTAGTTGCTCTTCCCGACCTTGAAAAGTTGTATATTCCATCCTGTTTGACATGCTGTTATTTGTGTTTAGTCCTATATTATTTGTCCAAGTGCAGTGATTTCAGGAAGAAGAATCTATATGAATTCTTGGTTGTTTATTTTGTGCTTTGTTGTAAAGCTGGAAGTCAAAAATTGTTCTTCCTTACACATAGTGATATAGCTTTGTTGGCTTGAATGCAGTATAGCCTCCAATCAAGATTGTAAGTTGGGATCTTCATTGTTGTGAATTTTATTTTCCTTGCAAGATCTTACTTCATAGTAAGTTGGATTTAATTTTCCTTTCAAGAATTTCTTAATGGTGTAGTTTATGCAAGAAGATTTTTTTTTTTTTTAGCTTGACTTTGTTGGTCATACATCAAAATACTTTTATATCATTGATGTTAAAATATGTCAAGCAATTTATATCTTTACAACTTGAGTTAGATCATGAGTGCATCAATTTATACATATTTTTCGTTTAAAGAATTTGTCAAATTTTCGATGGCTAAAGTCATTTGTTGGATATCATCATCAAAGCCCCATGTCACTTCTGTAACCATCACCGGCTTGAAGGATTCTTTGGGGAAATATAGTTTTTCCACCTCCGTGGAGAAGTGACATGAGAGAATTCAAACATGGACTGTCACTGAAGATGGAATCAGAACATGGAAATGCTCGAAAGAAGTGAACAATTTAAATTGTCAAGATGAGATTTAGGAATTTCTACAATGTTTACCATTTGAAAACTTACAGTTTAGAAGACAAGAAGGAAGTTGAGGCATCGAAATGATGTTCGATGATTCAACAATAACTCTCATTTTCAACTTTTATTCTTAGAATTAACTACTTTGTCCGAATTTTTTTGACATAATTGTTGACATCCTTTCAAATACGCATGGGTTCCGTGTGAATATAAAAGTCAAAAAAAATAAGAAAAAAAAGTGGGCACCCTCTCATTGTGAGTGTTGGTCGTCATTATGTCAAAAAAAATTCAGACAACATAGCATGATTGTTATTCCTAATCTTGGTGATTTCGTTTTCATATGTAACGTGTTTATATCCGATGAACATGATTGGCTGAATTTCATAGTTAGAACAAACGATTTAACTTAGTATAACGGTTTAATTCTACTTACGAATTTTGACATTAAAGTATAGTTTCATGCTTCTGTATTTGTTTGCCGAATTTAATGTTTTTAAAAGCTAGGTCAACTTCTAAATGATTTGTATACCATAATGAAATTGACGGGAGATTTATTAGTTTTAGATTGAAACAACGAAAACAAAAATTGGGATTGTAGATAGAGATATACCCTAATGGTTTAGATGATCATGATGATTACTAGCTATTTAATGCAGTTAATTATATTGTAATTCACATAAATAAATAATTTTTTTTATAATTAAGTAGTTTTAATTTTACTACCAAATAAATCTTGATTGTTTATTGCCAAAGTTTAAAATATAAAATTGAACCAGATTAACTATTGTGAAATCATGAAGTCATAAGAAATTTATTAGAAGGGTGTTTGGTAGGGATTAAAATTAGGTTTTTTTTTAAGATTGTGATAGAAGTTTTTGAAATGTGTAATTAAAAATTTGTGAGACGTATAAAAGATGTGATTGATATTGATTATTTGACTTTGACTCAGAACCAAACAAGCTCTAGATTTCAACCAACAAATTAATTTTATTGATCAGTTATTTTTATCTCTTTCTTAAAATTGAGAAATAATAACTGATTCCACAATGTTATCGGATGTTCAAAGTAAGTTAATTATTAATCTCATTTCTTAGTAGTAAAATCCTCATGGGAAAGATAAACAATACTTCACGTATCACTGTATTATTTATCGTATTCTTCACGTATCAATGTATTATTTATCGCACTATCTTACACTTGTGATTTTCACGAACAATAAATATATATAAACATTTGCCGACCAATCTAGTGTGTTCAAATATGCAATAACATGCAAAAAAATAGAAAGATATACATGAATAATTGTATATTAGACACTCATCGATGGATCGATGATTCATGTTCGGAAATTGAGTGAATAAAAAGTATATTTAATCAACTTAAATTATAATTGAATGAATTTTCAAACATAAAGTAATGCAACGAAAGATCTATTAACCTAGAAATCAAACTCGACTTCACCACCTTATTTCTCGTCGTCCTTTTCCTTCTTCGGCAGTTCTTCCTCTTCCTTTTCTTCATCCTTTCCCTCCTCATCCTTGGATTCCTCGCCATGGTGTCTTCTACTATGACCTTTGCTGCGAATCTTCTTCTTTAGTTTCTTCTTCACCTGCTCACCATGGCCACCATGCTCGTCGCCATGCTTGCCGATTTTCTTGATCTTCTCTATCTCGTCATCATTGTCTTTGGATTGTTTATGCTTTAGTTTTTCCTCTTGTTTTTTTAAAGATCTTTGACATTTTTTTCCCTCTTTTTAATTTCTCGATGGTATTCAACCGGTGATATTTCAAAGTTTAAAAAAATTAACTCCAATAAAAGTGCTAGTTAGCAAAGAAAAGAAAAGGTTTTTGAACTTTTTATAGAAGCAGAAATAAGCTCTACATAGTGCTTATACAAAAATTATAATCTAATATCGTCCTAATTAAATTATTAAAATAAATAAATATATCCAAATTATACAAATTTATAGTAAATATGTCATTTGTTGAGGTGTTAAAATATATTATAGTAATTACATATAACATTTTTAATTTAAATAAATAAATTTCAAATATTAAAATATATTATAATAAATATTCATAATGCTAAGTAATTGATGAAATGTATTCAAGACTATCATAAACTCGTATGTATTCAACTACCCCGGGCCTCTATTTGGCTCTCATTTTTCTTCAAACTCATTTTCAACCACATAGTTTATAGAATCCATAATTTTTATCAACTTTTTAACCATATATTTTATCAACCTCTAACAAAATCTACTAAAAATCGTATTTTTAACTAAAACACTATTAATAAATCCCATCTGTACAAGAAAAGAAGTTTGTTTGACAAGGAAAATACATGATCTCATGTTATGTGATGAAATTATCGTTCCTGAGCAGAACTCTTCATTCACAGACTTCTCGCCGATAACCCTCTGAAGATCTGCACTGGTTCCAAATCCATAGAGGCCAAGTTGACGGGTTCAATGCCTTCTCCGGTCAGCAAATTTTCATTAGCATGAGATGAAGCAAATCTTCTTTCAGAGTGCTCAAAAAGGTATGCATATTTCGACACATGCAATCCATCTTCAGATAATTAAGTGCCAGCTAAGCCTGATTCTTGCTATCACCATCAACTAAATCAGAAACACGGACTTCGGTCTCCAGCCATTCGATCATCAGAAAATGACTTCGATTTTGCATCGTCATGCATGCAAATTTCAATTACAGGGGTGCTTCTTTCTGGAGAATCAGTAGATGAGGCCACATCAGATGTGTACATTTCTCCAGCAGCCAATTCCACAAAAACCACACTTTCACAGAAGCTTATTGTTCCAATTCCCTAAAACAAGAAAATTAAGGCAGTGTTTGATTGTTGCATTTTTTTCCATGGAAAATGAAATTTGATTGCCATTTTCCAACTTTTTCTTGTTTGATAGGGTAATTTTATCCATGGAATTGAAGTTCCACATTTTCTTGAAGTTTGTTACTTTCTTGGATTTCTTGAATTCAAATTTCATTCCCAATACCAGTAAATTCTATCCCTTTAATTGACAATATTCATGTAAATCCAACGAACACCAAAAAACATTTTTATTTCAACATTTTCCATGTGAAAAATTATACCAATCTAACACAACAATTTACAATTCCTAAGTAAACAATTTCTACGCAATTCAATTCCTGAGAATTTGTTTTATTTCCATCCAAATTCCATCTTTACAATCAAACGGAACATAAGTTCAAATGATGCAAAAGCTTATCATCTATAGTACATTATGGGCTGTTTGGTATGGCTTTTGAGAAGCCAAAAAGAACTTTTGACAGTCAAAACTTGCCGTTGGACCCATTTGACTCATTTTATGAAAATATTTCTAGCTAGAAATGCATTTAGAGAAAGCTAATCCCATATAGCTCTCTCTAAAAACACTTTCAAAATAAGAAGCTTTTTTAAAAATTATTTTCCAATCAAAAAAA